ATAAGAACAGGTAAAGTGCTAATGCAAGCTGTCAGCCCTGACCACAAAATGACAACTATCCACTGCGAAAATACATTTGAAAAAAGAATTTGAATCTTTATAAAAATTTAGACTATTTGCTAAGAAAAATGGAACTTATTTTAGTTGCGATTTTAATTATTTATAATGCGAGTAGTACAATAGTTTTTATAGTGTACCCATACTTTCATCAATACTTTAAAAGTAATATTATGATGATAAAAGCAAATAATTAAACTACAAAATTGTCTAATAAATAATAGAGAAAATAATGTAAAAAAGTTAGTGTTCATTTTATTCAAATTTTGTGACAAATGTGGGAATGCAGGAGGAAAAAAAAGTATATTCTAGGGGACACCCGGATTTGAACCGGGGGCCTATCGATCTGCAGTCGATTGCTCTACCACTGAGCTATATCCCCGATGTAATAATGCAGTAAAATTATTAATAACAACAGAATTCTATTCATTATTCGACTGATAACATTTCCTACGAAACAACACGTAGGCGACCTTATCTACTTATGGAATGATGAATCATTATTGCTCATGCTTTGATTTATATTAATTTCTCTACGAGCAAAATATTAGTTATTTGAAGAATAATTATCAACTATTTACTTAGTTAATATCATACTAATATTATAAATGCGAAAGTTTAGATGGATGAATGGATGTTAGAGTTTGTAGCCTAAACGGCTGAACGGATTTCGATGAAACTTTGTATAGATATAGAGATTAGTCTGGAAGAACACATAGTCTACTTACTTTGATGTTTTTAATTCCACGGACGGAGTCGCGTGCGAAAGCTAGTATTTTTATAATAACAAAAAAGTATATGCCTTTCGCACTATAAGTATAAATACCTACATACGTTATAAATTATTTTTAAAAAGGCAACTCATAAATATTACTAGATTGTATATCAGTCAAAGCTTCCTTCAGGCCTAGTCTTGGTGAAGATTTGTTTCAGTAACGTCAAGGTCCACTCATCTTGAGAAGTGGCCCCAGATAGGTCCAAACCTAGTGCCTACTCACACAGGATCAGTTGTAATTAGTATATTGTTGTATTGTTTAGCGGCCTAACAGTCCGTCGTCTAGCGGAGTGTGGTGCGGCGGGCGCACAGCATGCGGCGGGCTCGGTGCGCGCGGCGGCCGAGCGGATTCTACTCGCGGCGTATACGCGCTCGCCACGCGTAGTGAGGGCGCAGCTCCCCCCAGATGACGCCGTCACACGTCGCAACCTCATCTATAGACATCTCTTCCAGCAGTTCGATAGGATCGATATGCAGGTCGGTTTTAGGCCTAATTTTAGTCCCGTTCCCTTTCCACCCTTTTCTTAAAGGATGGGAAGGAAAAGTGGATTTTACGGTGGAGACGCATAGGAAGGGGAAATGTCTATGTGCGTCTCCTCCGTCAATTAAGGGTAGGCAACGCATCTGCAATTGCAGATGTTTATGGTCAGCGGTCGCTTTCTATTTCGGTGGATCCATGTGGTTGCATGCTCGTTTGCCACCTCGTATTATAAAAAAAGATAAATCAGTAAAATAAATATTAAACATAAAGTTTGATAGTACATTACCAATATCTTTTGTAACAGAAAATGCTTAACCAAGCACCGACAGAGGAACAACTGCTAAACGGAACAGATCAGTCAGTAGACGTCAGCCACGAAACCGCCAGCGTCACCCAGTCCACTCGCTCCAGCACCACCGCCTCCGGGATGACGCCATCCGGCATGACGTCGTCACTAATGACGTCATCGATCGGTGCGTCATCGTACAGCCTTAAATCGAGTGCCAGCGGCGCGACGCTAGCGCCGTCCAGCTTGAGCGGCAGTTTTACCACATCAAGGACAAAAAGTAGCTTGAAAAAATCACCTACGAAGAAGTACACGCCGAGTCGCACTGCGAAGGACTTCTCGAATTATCCGGGTTATAATAAATTAAGATTGGATAGCGCTGTTAGCCCGAAGCACTCACCAAGATCCTCTACAGTCGGCAATGAAAAGGTAGTTTGTCTTAAACGTATAACCATAACTGTCAATTCAATTTTGTTACAAAGATTTCCGAACTTGACCAGACCGACTCTTGTATGATCTATTGTTCTGTTTGTCCTTCTTAGGTGCACTTTCAAGAGAATCAATCTGAAGAAGTGATATACCGTCGAACTAATCGTAACACGGAGAACCGCCATTCCATGATACATTACGACCACGATCCATCCAAACCAGAACTAAAAGAAAGACCTGTCACAGTTTATGAACCTCTACACATCGACTACCGAGATTCCCCAACAATAGGTTCACCAAAGACAACCAAAAACGATAGAAGTTTGGACTCTTTACCTATGGATTCACCACAAATGTCTAGGAATGATATGAGATCGGACTCAGACTGTAGAAGTTTAGATTCTCCGAAGATTAAAGCTGAATTCTTTAGAGATAATGGTTTGGATTCGCCGAAGTTAGTCGCTGGGTTCAGGAATTTACATTTGGAAGAGAGCAGTCAAATGGATGAAAGCGGGTATTACAGTCCAGGTATGAATTTTTAAACTGACTAACAATTTTTCTGTCTTCTTCTTTCTAGTGAGTGTGTTTGTTAAAGGAAGAAGACAGCAGATGACGACCAACGAACCTCAATACGAGGACTACGAGGCAGTCGGTGTTAGCGCCAGCAATGAGACCACGCCGGAACCTGTATGCAAGTCAGTATCAACCACTCTACACATTCTCAATACTTTCCAATAACCTTAATGTAATAGACGGAAGCTTACATAAATTATAACACGGCTAAACTCACGTGATAACATTCGGTGTAGGCACCGACAGTTTCGAACCCGTTGGGGGTGTATTTTGTGCCCCCGGTAATAACAATGATACCACCACGTCAGTATCGAGCTCGTCTTCGCCGACGGACATAGTGAATAGTGTACCCCCCGCACCCCCGCGCCCCCCGCCCTGTCGAAACGCGCGATGCGGGCGAGGGTACGCAGTGACCGTCGCGACGCGATAGCGAGTATACCCGATTAATCACTCACCCTGAAGAAGGACCCCCAACGGGTTCGAAACTGTCGGTGCCTACACCGAATGTTATCACGTGAGTTTAGCCGTGTTATAATTTATGTAGTATAATGTCTCACGAAAGTTTTAATAAGTTAAGACGGAAGCTTATTGTAATGTCACATAGGAAAAGTACAGAGATGTATTTTACTAAGAGCGACTACCATTGACTAAACTATCGCAACCAATTCAACCATTTAGTTGCACAACTAAAACTCGGGCAGTGCACCTCCATGTAAGCTCATAGACAGCACAACTAAACAGTTGTTCCACAGTTGTGGTAGAGTCTACTTTTACTACCTTCATAAAAGATATTATAGTTAGCTTATAGGTAATGTGATAGTTTGATTTTTGTCGTATATTTATATCCTGGTCGAGCAGTACGACGTGCACGTGGTGCGGACGACGCGTGCGCGCCACTGCGCTGGAGGCGCACTACTGGCGACGCTGCGTGCTGCTGGCGCGCTGTCCGCATTGCCGGCTGGCGCTGGAGGCGCGCGGCCTGCACCCGCATCTCCTAGGTAACACAAAAAAACTATAAAATGTTAACATTAATATAATTGTAACAACATAATTAACTTCAACACTCAGACCAGAGTCAGAATTGCGCGCTTGTTTACGTCACAATGACATTGACAGATGTCAGATAGGTATGGGACTTATATGCCAATGATCTAGTGTTGCACTAATGCTCCAGCGCAGTACTGATTTTCTTCATAACAATAGCAAAGTATGTTCTAATCATAGTCAGTTTTACTTACATTCTGAGTATGTTCGCAAATTCAAGAAGCAATGAATGAAATCTTTAGTTGTATTCAGCAAAAGATTGGAAGCAGTTGCACGAAATTACAACGTACATTTTAAGTTGCCTACAAAACTACATTAAATGCCGATCAGATTGTTAAGTGCTAGGTTATCTATCTATCTATACTAATATTATAAAGAGGAAAGATTTGTATTTTTGTATGTATCGAAATAACTCAAAAACTATTGGGCCGATTTAAAAAATTCTTTCGCCATTAAAAAACTACGTTGTTACTGAGTAACATAGGTTATGTTTTTTTACTATTATTTTAAATTTAACGTCTTCTAAATCGGAGTGGCAGTTCATTATAAAATAACATGTTGTAATATATCTTCCGTTGCGTAGAGGAGTGTTCCCTGAGTGAAGGCTTATGGAAGGCATGCCAGAAGTGCGGCGCGGCGCTGCGCACAGATGAGAGCGAATATCACGCAAACTGTATACGTAAGTATTTAGACGGTTATTTATTTATATATTTACAATCTCTCCTCGGCGGTATTCCAAACCAATACTACTTAGTGTCCTTCAAAAAGCGAGCCTATCATTTCCTCAAAGGCCAACGCATCTGTATTTCCTCTGGTGTTGCGGATGTCCATGGGCGTCGTTGACCACTTCTGTGTTCCAGCCGCTCGTTTGGCTCCTTCTCATGTGAAAAAAAATACGTTTATATTTCAGGACAGATTATTATAATTAAGCCAATTAAAAGCATTTCGTGATAACGGAAGCTTAGGCCTAGTAGTTAGTAGTCACCCAAAAACCGACTTCCAAACAAAATACACTAAAAACAAAACAAAACGCACTAAAAACAAAACAAAATATTCTCAAAAAAACAGTACACTAAAAA